TTATTCTACATTATCTCCCTGGTTGATAATTACTATCTTTGACGATTGATGGAATGAATGTCATGTAATACATCAGGCCTTGCGGAGAGTACAAAATACTAGCAAACACATTCACGCTCTTTTCTTCCTGTTTGTCAGCAGAAGGAAAACTTATCTATGGGTGAACTGTTGTTACCAGTGATGGCAAACTTACATATAGTATAGTTGGATGAAATAGCCTCAGTGATGCCATTCCTAAAGTCATTTCATCCAAATATTCCATGATATGTAGTGGACACTTCATACACTAGCCTCGCCAGGAAGCTGTAGAAATACATCCGGGCCTCGCTCCAGTTCACAGACGAAGAAGAAACTGAAAATCGGCTGGTATTCCTAAATGTATTAATAACTCTCGCACAGAAAATAAATCCAAGCAGTGCGTTTAACAAACAGTGGCCTAAGAAAAGATTTAGCCAGTAGAAATAAACTACATCCAAATAAGATCGCCTGATAAGCCAGTACATACGGTAGTCTTGTACTATACATTCATTCTGACGTACCAAATCATTGATTCAAATGAATCTTACAACTAATGTAATTAATGTCACAAATCAATGAAAACATTTGAAATTAAAAGGAAGGGAGTAAAAAAAATCATCTAGATAAAGCGAGATTTTATATTTCTTTGGTGACCTATTAAAAAGACTTGCATCTAAAGTGAGGTATTTTTATCCATGTACTGTATTCACTATAAAATCATTTCACCTCAGGAAAGGGAATACAGTCACTAAGACTGTAAAGGGTTACTGAGAGTTAGAAAAAAAGAATATAATTAACGAGAGAGGACAATAAAAGAACAAGAATTAAGAAGACAGATTATATAATGATTGACATTGCTTTTAACTGCCAATTTAGTACTACGTTTAAATTCCTAAACATAGGAAGATCAAAGCTATAAAGCTATATATATTCAATATAAATTAAAGTGCCAGAGAAGTAAATGTTAGCATAAAACTAACGATTGCGGCTAGCTGTTTCATCTGTTAAATAATGGGACCTAGCTGCTAATTTAGTACTGCGTTTATCTTCCTAAACATAGGAAGATCAAAGCTGTCTGGAAAGCAAGAAGCTGGAGGAGAGTTCCATAAACGTGAATTGCCAGAGAAGAAACTGTTAGCATAAAACTTACGGTTGTTCCCTAGCTATTTTATCTGTTAAATGATGGGACCTAACTGCCAATTTAGTACTGCGTTTACATTCCTTAAGTCGAGGTATGAAAAAGTAAAGCTCAACAGAATAATTACCATGAAAATATTTATAGAAAATGACCAGGGAAACTATCTTACAGTTAGTGGGGTGACTTAAGCCGAGATACTAAGGCAGGACCAATATCTCTCTAGATTCTTATCTTAATTTATCAAGAATCTCTAAATATAGTAGCAGAGTCACCAGATATGACAGTAATATTCAGAGCATGGACGAACAGTAGACTTATAAATATGTAAGATAGATTCTGGCGAGAAATTTACCTAGTACGACACAGGGCACTATCACTGTGAACATTGGGCTTTCTGGTGAGCAACTGCATCGGCCTTTACAAAATTCTATTAATGGAGAGTATTTCAGTTTACTGGAAATCTACAAGAACGGACTAAGGGAAATTCTTTGTTAAGAAAGATAAACTTTACTTAGACAATGGAATTATGGGATTACCTGAAAGATGGCAGAAGTCAGTGAAACAAAACGCTAAATATGTTTTTCGATAAAGCAAATGTCGATTCTAAAATTTAAAACTTGTATTTTATTCAATAAAGGTAAAAAAAAACAAACTTCTGTGCTACACATTAAACCTAAGGGATTTATCGGCTTATCCTGGGCATTTACTTAGTTGACCTCACATGATAAAATGAGAAGAAACAAAGAGTGGAAGAGTGTGCACCGCCATTCTTTAACTAATGATTACCTGTTCCGAATCAGCAGTTGAAATCGTGATTTTTCAGATTCAAGACTGAAATCGATTTTGGAACTAAGCAACTATCTCTTCTACAAGGCACATGACTATTTTTTTATGCTTAATAAACTTAACTTGATACAAAAGATAGGATATGTGCATAAAGGCCCTTAGGGAAAGGCATGAAATCAAACAGTCGAAGAGAACGATTACGCAGTTTTCCAAACAGTGAAGAAGGAGCTAGAGAAATTCCCTTATTATTTTTTTCCAAAAATTCATGTCAATTTCAAGATAAGGAAGATGTAGAGAGCCATGGATGTCTATGTAATGAAGAGGCAGAGTATTTATAAAAAGTACTGAACAAGTCCAAATGAATCGAAAATATAGATGGATACGCCACTTAATTTCAAGTGAGGAGTTTTGTAATCTACAAAAGAACGCCGACGTTTAACACAGCCTTTTATGCTACAAGACACAAACTCAGGGCTCAAGAGCCACTCGTGTTAAAGATAGAGCTTAAGTGCTGATGTTGAATGAGCTGCGTGGTATTAATGAAATAGGAAGTGAAGATTATGAGTATAAGGAGGATAGATAATAATTGGCCCTTGAGTTAAAGAGTTTGGGATTGTATTGTTCAAAGGAAGCACTTCCGCGGGAGTCTGTTTCAGAAAGTCAGTTTGTTGTGTGGGATATATAAATAGAACTTACAATTGAAATACGAGTGGAATGAGCCTGATTAGATTCCGAAGAGGTAGCATGGCGTATCCTAACTCTAAAGGCCTGAACTGGCGGGGCTAAAGTATGCAGATCATCTGCACATTTCCCATGGAAATAGTGATAGATTAGAGATAAGCTTGTTATGCTTCGTCTATGGGAAACACAAACCTGGAAAGTAAGGATTAAGCAGCTCCAGCAATACTGCATGTTTATTCTTGTTTGACTCCTGCAATGTTAGAGCATGCCAGGAGGAGCCAGGTACTTGCTGGATTAGCAAAAGTAACCGATCTAGTATCTATATCTAATATCAAAGTATTAAAAAAGAGGAAAATTGTTGTTGGAAAATCATTTAAAATTTGCTATCCTTTTAGGTGATATCTAATACGGGCCACAAGCGAGGAAACTTTTAATTGACAACGGGTACAGACAGTTGAAATTTCTAGGAGACATAATGAAGAAAGAGGGCTTGGAAATATGACACACACAAGATACATTGAATGGACAGAGTAAAAGAACGCATAACATTTTTAGTGAGCTTCACTAAATAGGTGACGGAACAGGGTTTGGGAGAAATAACAAAAAGAGAAAATTTATTAAAAACTACAAAGGACAGGAAAGTGTGGAGAGCCATGATTGCGAATGTTCTGAAGAGACACGGTATGTAGAAGAAGAAGAATGACTTTGTATGAATGGATGGCGGAACAGGGTTTAGGTGAGATAACAAAAAGACAAATGTATTAAGACCTATAAATGACAGGATATTGTGGAGAGCCATGATCGGCAAAGTCCTGAAACGACACGGCACATAGAAGAAGGAGAATGATATTGTGTAAATAGATGGCGGAACAAGGTTTAGGTGAGATAATCAAAAGACAAACATCTATTAAGAGCTATAAAGGAGAGGAAATTGTGGAGAGCCATGATCGCCTACGTCCTGAAGGGACACGGCACATATAAGAAGAAGAATGAGTTTGTGTAAATGGATGGTAGAACATTGCTATGGGGAGATAACACAAGGACAAAAATTGTTAAAAGCTATGAAGAAGAGGAAATTGTGGAGAGCCATGATCGCCAAAGCACTGAAGGGTCACAGCACAAAGAAGAAGAAGAAGTTTGTGTAAATGGATGGACGAACAGGGTTTAGGGGAGATAACAAAAAGAAAAAATTGTTAAGAGCTATAAAGAAGAGGAAATTGTGGAGAGCCATGATCACCAACGCACTGAAGGGGCGCGGCACATAGAAAAAGAAGAAGAATGAGCTTGTGTACATAGATGGCGGAAGACCTATAAATGACAGGATATTGTGGAGAGCCATGATCGCCAACGTCCTGAAAGGAATCGGTACATATAAGAAATAGTTTGTATTTATGCGAATGGATGGCGAAAGAGGATTTAGCGGAGTTAAAAAGGAGAAAATTTATTAAGTGCTACAAAGCACAGGATATTGTGGAGAGCCATGATCGCCAACGTCCTGAAATGACAGACCTATAAGAAGAAGTGTTTGTGTGAAGTTGTCAGTTATTTCAAACATCAAGCTAGCCTGCCATTTGGTTCTGGACTCAATTACAAGATTTGTGTAAAGACTTCAATTTTTGGTCTTCCGTTCTTTGAAATCTTTAAGGATTCATTTCATTAATTGTTCAGTCGGCTTTTGATGCTGACTTCAACCTAAATGGACCCATCCTTCGTGTAGCCGTTTGTTCCTTCTTTCCTTCCCACACATTCTGCCATCATTTGAGCTTTTTCGATGGTTAATTTAAAGTTTCTTCATTTCGGTTTCATTTCACGGTGAAGTTTTGTACGGCTACACTTTTTTTTTATCATCGTTAAAAAGATAATCTCATTGTCACGTTCGTCAATCAAATATTCGTCTGTTTGTTTTTTTTGGGGGGGGGTTGCATTTTATTATTTTCTTCTCTGCTTTCTTTCTTCCATAAATTAATTTTTCTATTGGAATTTTTCAATCCTTCCAAGATGTGTCTTAACATTTTTTTTCCTTTTTGCATTCTATCAAAATTCTTTTTCTTTTCTTTTTTTTCTCCTTCATTTTCAAATTTATTTCTTCATTAATCAATTATTATCGTTATTCATTCCTCTGAGAATTTTCTTGTCGTTCTTCCTTCTTTTTCTTTTTCTTTTAGACTTCCTTTTCCTCAATTTCTTCTCCCTTAACACAATCTTGAATTTTTGATTCGTTTTATTCTATTTGAACTTTTCTTTTCTTTCTTTTCTTTCTTTCTAAATTTCTTCTTTATTTCTTTCTACTTTACTTTTCCTCACTTTCTTCTTGATTAACTCAACCCTACCTGAGGTTGATATACCGTAAAACAAACCAAACCAAACCAAACCTACAATGATTCTTTTCTTCTTCTTGGATTTTTCTTCTTGGATTTTTCTTATCTTTCTTTCTTTCTTCATGCAGATTTTTCCTTTTTGTCTACTTCTTCGGACCTTACAGGGTGTTTTACTCTTTCTTTTTTTCTTTCATGTTCGTGTTACTTTTTTCCTTTACAGTGCACCTCTTTTTCTTCTTGTACTTCTTATTTATGTTGTTATTTTTGTTCTACTTCTTTTTTCTTCTTTCTTTCTTTCTTTCTTTCTTTCTTTCTGCTTCGGGAAATGCCCAGGCTGTCTTAGTCTTTTGTCGCTTTTTTTATGTTCATTCCTCCTTCTTCTTCTTCTTCATCTTCATTTATCAATTCTAATCATCGTTCCTAAACTTATTTTTTTCATTTCGTTTGCATTTCCTTTCCCGTTACCGCGTTTCTTCTTCTTCTTCTTCTTCTTCTTCTTCTTCTTCTTCTTCATGTTCTTCTTCATGTTTTTCTTTTTCTTCTTCATCATCTTTTTCTTCTTCATCATCATCTTTCTTTTCTTCTTACTCTTCTTCTTCTTCTTCTTCTTCTCTTTCTTCTTCTCACTCTTCTTTTTCTTCTTCTTCTCTTTCTTCTTACTCTTCTTCTTCTTTTCTTTCTTCTTCTTACTCTTCTTCTTCTTCTTCTCTTTATTCTTCTTATTTTCTTGTTGCTCTTCTTCTCCTTCTTTTTACTCCTCTTCTTCTTCTTCTCCACATTTCTGCCCTCTTCTTTAGACATTCCATGGTATTTTACTGATTTCCTTTATCCTACTCATTTCTTTTTTCTTTTTTCTCCTTCTTCTTCTTCTTCTTCTTCTTCTTCTTCTCCTTCTTCTTCTTCTCCTTTGATTTTCATTCTTAAACTTCTTTTCCCTAATTCTTAACGATTTCTTCCCTCACCCTTTTCTTTTCCCCTTGAACTCTTGCATGTAGGTAATCTTAAAGAATATTCGATAATTATCGACCCCTCGACTCCTAATCGAAACCAATTCTCTTCGCCCATTGTCGCCGTAGAGTCCATCCTTTTACTTTAAAAACGTTTCCTCGATCGAATGCCCGCTTTTATTAGGAAAGACGCCAAGCAAATAGCTGCTCAGCTCATCGACTTACGAGCAATCACCATTCCTTATCGGAATATATTTAGACAAAAGAGAAGTGACTTTTTTTATCTCTTTAAAGAAAACACTTTCTTACTTTATCGTTTATTTCTGTCTTCCCATCGGCGCTGCCCTGCCACGTGGTTATCGCAGGAAATAAAAGACAAGTATCCTCCCATATATAGTTGTCATCATCGTAATCTCGTCAACATAAGCAGTGCCGTGATGTAAATGTTTTAAATTTCCCTTCTTGGATCTCTTCGTTCAATATTTCTGACAAAATATGGTCCGTAGAGTAGCGGCTATCAGCGCAGGAAAATGAGATCAGCATTCTGAGTTCGAATTCCGCCTGTGGTCATTGCGTTTACTTCCGCACGAATAACAGTGGGTAAGTTATGAATCCATTTCTTCTCATCTGTGGGTTAAATAGCAGGCTAGACTGGGTTGTCTAGCCTTGGCTGGCAACCAGTCTAAAAGAAGAACTTAACATCCAAAACCAGGTAAGTGTGAGAGTGAAACGTGAAAATGTATTTAGTAAGAAAATCACGACAGGAATGTACTGTGTGGTTAGGCTGTGAACTTAGCCTGTTGAGGATGGGGTGCTAAACACTACAGAGAGAAAAAATCGTCCCCCCATGTCTCTATCTTATAATGTGGTTATTGCTTTGAAAACTACATTCAGGTATACCAGCTGATTTTCACTTTCATCTTCCCCTGTGAACTAGAGCAGTATTTGTAAAGCTTCCTGGTGAAGCTAGAGTATAAAGTTTCCTCTAAATATCTTAGCCTAATTATTGCCTTTAGTGGTGCCGTTCCTAGAAGAGTTGTTGCCTCCAATTATTCCATATGTACGTTTGCCATAGTTGGTAACAACGCTCTACCCATGGACACGCCTTCCTCCTTGTGAAGGAAGAAAATAGGGTGAGTGTGTTTGCTAGTATTTGCAAACCCTGACTTATTACATGACATTCATTCCATCAATTTTCGGAGGTCGTAATTATCAACCAGGGAGATAATGTAGAATAAATACATACGCCAAACGATCAATCGATCGTGTAGCCCGTGGCCCATCAGGGTGGTAGGGGCACAACATGTAATGCAGCCGTAGTAGAAGTGGTGTTTTTTGGACAAGATAGCCTCACGGTTTTGAAATCAGAGTTACCTTCTCTTAGACTGGTTGCTACTCAAAGCTACAGAACCCAGTCTGTCCCGCTATTTATCCATAACTGGGGGGGGGGAAGAGAGAATTCACACCTTTCCCAAAGGAATTTGCACGTAGGTGAATGGAATAGATCCAACTGGAATTCGAACTCGGCTCTCCGATTCCTCAATCCAAGCTGCTATCCATTACTCCACTGTGCCTCCTATCTCTCTCACTCTCTCTATATCTCTCTCTGTCTCTCTCTCTCTCTCTCTCTCTCTCTATATATATATATATATATATATATATATATATATACGGATAGAAATGTAAAAGGAAGGCTGAAAAAATTGAATATGCAAAGCAAAGCTATTTAAGAAAAGGGTAAAATGCCAACGAATCTCGCAACCCGGGTTTCGACCGTGAAGTGTCTTCATCAGGTGTTCATTGATATAGATAAGCTACAGGGAACGTTTAACTCATTTAATCTATGGGATATCTTATCTAGTTTGTTTTTTCTTAGTACTGTTCAGTTATTGCTTGGCCGTTTCCACTGAGTCTTATCCTGGGTCTGACGATAAACTGCATTCGACAGAAACTGGAGGTTTCTAATTGCAACTCATTAAGGTCAACGATCGAAAAATTGTATTGTTGACCATTACGAAGTTAATACAGTATTTGATATCACGTGACCCATGACTCCCTACAAAGAAATGATCGAATATAAAAAACGATTTGAATGATGCAATAAATAACAACAGAAATAAGATGAACGATGATCCAGTCAAAATTATTAATCATGAATCTAACATTTATTAACTTCCCGGTAAAAGCTATCACATTTTTAACAATGTTATACCCCGGGTCAACGACGTGGACTCGCCTGCATGTGAATAAATGCGAGAATGTAATGTGGGATTGGGGAAGACAGTAAAACATCTGTGTTTACCGGTGCTCTGCTTGTCAACTTCTCTGCCTCCGGAAACCAGACGAGCCTATGCCTAAGAGCAGAGTCTCGTCTACCGAGGTAGCTACCCAGTACCTTGTATACAGTGTCTACGGGCAATTTTTGTCCGAGCCTAAAAGCACGGAATCGCCCCAAGTTAAAAAAAAAAACAGCCTTGTGCCACTTCGCGACTTGTGGGGATGTCTTGGGTAAATACCAAGAAAGCAAAATATCTGTGTTTGCTGGTGTTCTGATCGTCGACCTCTCTGCCTCTGTGCAGAGAGGAACCCAGACGTGGCTATGGCGATGGGTAGAGTCTCGTCTGCGGAGGTAGACAGCTACCGCATAACGTGTATATGGGGTCTACGGGCAATTTTTGTCCGAGCCTAATGTCTCGGAATCGCTCCACGTTAAAAACTCGGCCTTTTGCCACATCCCGTCTTTTGGGGAGGTTTTGGGCAAATACTGAGACAGCAGAAGCCATATTTAGTGATCGTCTGTGGAAAATACAGTAGAAATCTACAATTCATCTGTGGTTTATACTGCAACTATACTGATCAGACCGTATTTACAGTTTCTGGTAGAGAGCGCGTTATGTAGCGTGTTTAACAATCTGAACAAGGCAAGCACGCTCAAATCCTCAGTCACGATGACTTGTGACTTAGTGAAACCACCGTCAGCTCCCAAGGGTTCCGCCTACCTATTTTCACTCACAAGGCTTGGATTAACCCGTGGTATGGTTTTCAGGCACTTTCCAAATGTGCCGTACGCTGGGATCGAACCCCTCCAGACCGATAGTATCAAGACACCTTCCTAACAAATTGACCCTGGTGATATTCGAATACGGGTCTCCTGGTCAGAAAGCGAACGTTCTAACCACGTCTTTTGGGTGTTGAACAAACAGAAATCTGCCTGAGCCTGCGTCTGCAATGAGGATTAGCTAGACGCCCTAGTAGACTGGCATCTTCGGATACGAATTGCTGCGTCATTTACCTTTAAAAACTTTAATCTGCAGCTGGACTTATTCTAAGAGTGACTGAACTCGAGATTTATTGCCCGAAAATACAGGAATTGTGGTAAAGTATGGGGCACCTAGTCAGGATAGTAACTGATCTCGCGAGACAAGCTTGCTAACCATTGCACCGCTCCGAGGTGCCCCTAAGAGTGACTGAACTCAAGTAACAGACACATTACAATAAACTATTAACAAACTGCGTATTAACAAAGCTGATGTACATGTTTCAGGAGAAAGAAATGTGGTTATGAGCATTTATCTGCATTGTTTTGTGCTGTCAGCAACTTCTGATTTAATACGGCACTTTAATTCTAGCAATAGTCTAATGTCGTAATTCTAATCCAGAGAACGATCCTTTTATCGTCGGGGTAATAGTTTACATTTACGCTTTAAATAAATAAAAAAATTGTTGTAACCTAGGGGAGGTTAGTGAATAGAATAATCACACGAAGGTTGGTAATGAACAATAATACTTAGGACACCAACAACAAATATAAGATTCACCAGTGGCACATAGAAGAAGTAGCCAACTGCTAGAAGTGAGTCAAGTGGATTTCACAATGAATCTCCAACTGCAGACCAACATAAAGTATTTACTACTGTATTTATATGAATAGAGACATATCATTATTGTCCGTAGATATACTACAAGAAAAAGTATCGTCATTATTTACATTCGGATTCTTGTCCTCATCTTTGTTGTTGTTATCCCACTATTTTGACTATTGTGTCCTCCGACCATTATCAGGTGTTTATTGATATGGTTAACCTACAGGGAACTTTGAACTCATTTAATTTATGGGATTTTTTGTCTAGTTCTTTTTTTTTCCTTAGTACTGTTCAGTTTTTGCTCGCCCGTTTCCACTGAGTCTCGTCTTGGATTTGATAATAAACCACATTCGGCAGCAAAGCCCCTGATTGGAAGTTTGGAGGTTTTGAGGAGCGTGGAACAATCTCTTAATTGCTGTTGTTCTCCGGCCCACCCTGAGGTGGTAGCACTTTTTAGGGTCCCAGCTATGGACAAATAGTGAAACCACCCTGAACAAAAAGAAAACACTATGAAAGTATATCGATCTGAGTAATTTAGAGTGAATTCCCAACTGAACACTTTATTTAATCTACAGGGTAGACTGTTCTCTTTCCACTATTCATATCTAGGGATATCTCGTCTTGTTCTTATTTTTTTCGTTATTGCTCGCCCAAAGTTTCTGCGGTTCTGATTTTCCTGGTTTTTTACCTGTAGAAATATTTATTGAATAAAGACTTCAGTTCGCAATCCAAGCATCTGAAGAATGGTGACGAATATAACAGACAGAATGATTTTGCTATAAAAGAATCTCTTCTTTCTGTCTATTCTATCCTAGTTGCTATCACTTTCTATCACATATTTCAATCATTATTTGACCCTTTATCTTGAAGGCATTTCGAGTTTTATACTCGGTAAATAACTTAGTATTATGGTTGACAATTCTTCATCTAATGATGATAAAGTTCAAGATAATATTAAAATAGAAATAATGATAATAATTAATAATA